CAAAACCCCAAAACCCCAAAACCCCAAAACCCCAAAACCCCATAATATCAATATTTACTCACTTTAGATAGAAATTAAATTACTTAATACATTAAAAATTAATTTTTAAAAACTGTAATTAGAAACATTTATTGGTTCAGGAATCTACTTAATATATAAGTTACCAAAAAGTTATGATAATTCAATTATTAGCAAAATGAAAATTCAAAAGTAGTTGATAATGATTGGACTATTAGGTCTTGTTCTAGTTTCTTGCTATGATTATGGATCTAATCAAAGTGGAGGGGATTAGCCACCTAGTAGTAATAATCCTGTTGCACCAGATAATGAGAGCAGCCAAACTAAAAACTAAACAGCACCTTAAAATCAAACTGATTAAAACGATGGGGCTATTACTAATATAACTAGCGGTGGTGATGCTATGCTATAAGCTATTGGATAACTTGGATAATAACTTAATGGTGAAGTTTATCCTACTGGAGCCGCTGACAATATCATTTCAGCTCTGAATAATCTGTGGGTATAATCCTAATATATTTCTGCAGCAGCAAATCTTGTAACTTCTTAGAGTTCAAATTCGAGAGATGGAGGCAATAGTGCTTCCGGTGATTAGACTGCTAGTGGTTCAGATAAACAGCAAGCTACGGCTTCATTGAGTTAAAGATAAATTTGGTATGACTAATCTTATGCTGCTGACGATAGGATGTATGGAGCTGTTGATCAACAATTAGTGATTCTATTTTCAGCCATAAATGAGCAATAATGTTATAATGCTTATACTACTGGAATCTTTGAAATATTTGTAGGATGGACTAAATATAGCAATTTGCTTTTGGGATCAAATTTAACTGATGATCTTGAACTTAAAAGATTTTGTTTGTCTGAAAAAGGAAATTTAGAAAAGTAAGTAAATTTAATTATTGATGTAAATCCACTTTAGAATAATTAACAAAATGGCATCTTTGATAAGCGGAGATGGAGATTGCGATGTCCTACAAGTGCTTTACGATGGAAGTTAAGAGAGTAATATCTATACTGGTTGGAGAGATAATCTAGATGACAAAGCTGGCTATATAATAATGTATCTTGCAGAAGGTTATGTTGTTCTTTCTGCTTGTAATCAATATGAGATACAAGCATAATAGAATTAAAATCAAAATAATAGTAGCATTATTGATAGCTCATCAGCTTCATCTAACTCTTCAGAACCCTCTGGAGACAGCTAATTGAATCAATTGGTAGATTACTCTTCACAACTGTAAAGCCTAATCGAGAGAGTCATTCAATTTGACAGGCAAGCCAAACAATCAGTGATGCAGACAGTCGGCCAAAACTTAAACCTACTTTTGAAGAACAACCAAGGACTCAGTCCAGAGGTTTTAGCCACTACCCTTATTGTATGCTACATTCCTATCATCTACAGCCAATATCTGTGGTAGCTAGGAGTAGTTTACTCGAATACAACCGAGCAAGATTTCTATTCGAATTGCTGGTCTTGTGTCACAGTTATTTAGGGTGACTACAGGGCAACTATCACCTGGATTAGTCCAAACACCACAGCATCTCTCTAAGCGCAGGACCTACAACAGTATATCTAGTCAGATAACTCAACAGAGGAAAATTCTAATAATGTATTTGCTAATTTAGGAAAATGTACCAGTGGCGTATGGATTTTCAATTCTTCGAAGCCATATTTTGTCAGTTCCCAATTCGGTGAAAGACTTATTTAATCCCTAGGACAGGAGTACGATATTTTTGCTTGGGGTGTTTAGGAAGATTGCCGTGGATAACCATTAGTAGGCATTTATTGAACCTCATTTTGATCGATCTAGATTAAAAATTGTTTCGACTTTATAATATTAATTCGTTTAATTTTAAACTTTTTCACCTGATCTTATTACTATTCTTAGATGATGGGGTTTTGGGGTTTTGGGGTTTTGGGG